GTGTCTGCCAGACCCATCGCATCAAGATGAATTTCGGTATCAAGCACCCAAGATATGTAGTTTTTGCCCGATATATCCAGGTCTACAAACTCAAGTTTAGAAAGATTTGACATTATTTAGAAAAAGAAAGTTCGTACATCTGATACTTTCAAAGTATTTTCTCGAGATGGCAGAGTCTCGTGCTGATAACGTGTTATAAAATAAAGACAGTAAAGTAAAGACAAGTATAGAGAGAAACTGATATATTATTCAAACTTCAAACTTATGTACATAATGAACTGAATTCTCCTCTATTTATAGAAGAAAGGAAGTTGTTGTGTAAGCTGCTACTGCAAGCTGTTGTGTAAGCTGCTTGTAAGATGCTGCTGCAAGCTGTTGTGTAAGTTGCTGCTGCAAGATGTTGTGTAAGCTGCTTGTAAGCTGTTGTGTAAGCTGCTACTTTAAGCTGTTGTGCCAGATATAGATAATCTTCTACCATGGATAATATTTATCCATAATGGAGTACCGAAAAGATAAGCTTCTTCAGGAGGCTTATTTCCAATGGAGTACTAAATAGATAAACATATTTACGGCAGAGCCTCATATGGATAAGCTTCTTCAGGAAACTTATTTACTACGGAGTACTAAATGAACATCCATAATATAATATATTTATAACAAAATGCACTTTTCCCACTCTTTTTTAAGTATACTATATGCACGGGCCCAACAATTTGAAATGAAAAGTACAAGACCAACAATTTATATCGGCTCTTGTTCATTAGTACATTTATTTTTCATTTTTATATAGAAAAGAATCATTTTCGTTATCTATTTCTTAAACTTAAATTGTTATCTAGTATATAAGAAGGCACTTGGGAATAAGTATTGCAAGAGTATTTTCAATTTCACCTTTAAAGTTACATGCGCAATTTAAATTATTGATGATTTAGGTATGTGCTTCTTGATAAAAGTAGTTCTGAAAGGCCCTACTGTTCTCTTCCATTTCTCAAAACAGACCTTGAGCAATCACTTCCATCTCCCATTACTCAAGTTCACCATGGAAGGCTTTACCTTCCTCACTGAATGAACATTTCTCTGGATTAGGCTTTCTTTTTCACAAGACAGAAGTGAATGTAATAGGACATTAATACGACAACAACAAACTTTACAACGTTAACTCCAATGAAAATATAAGTCCTACCTTCAACTTTTCACATAACAGGATAAGGTGAAGTAATAACAGTAAAGAACAAACGTACACGATTACACTCGTTTTTCAATATTAAGACGAATAAAGATGTGCACTATACATGTTTTCAGCCATATCCAGAGTTATTCCAATCATGCTAGCTAATCATTCCCCTCGCAGTGCTATGTTTCTATAGTTCAATAGTTTTAATGAGTCTCAATCTCTTACCTCCATGCTGCACTGTAAAGAATTATATTCCATAGGTACCTTCTTGAGCATACATAAGATCTGTCTGAAGAAAATTTTGCACACAAAGTTGTGTATGCAGTATAGTCTTACCATCACCTAGGAGTGCATCTTGCTGACCGCCTACTAAGCCTATTATATGCCAACATCATGATAATTACCATTATGTTGAGCAAAAAATAGAAAGTTAATTTTAATTGTTTATAATATAGCAATTAATTCTTAACATATACAACTAAAACTAAAATTCATATACCCATATTTACACCATCAAATGTTTTCAGTGTCTCCATTTGCATTTTTGGAAATATCGTCGTCTATATAGATTCAGCTTATGTGCCTTCAAGCAACCAGATTTATCGTGACAATATTGAAATGAATATATGCTTTACAAATTTGAAAAACTGCATTTGTTAATCACACTGCAGAGCCTACATCACAACGTTGACAGGTCAAATATTCCAAGCCAATTAGCCAAGCTATAATTACTACCTAAGAATTGTTTATTCATTTTATAATTACTTTTTGTATCAACCACTATACCAACAACTTATCTACCACCATTTTAACTACGTCATCTGAAGGAGCCTAGGCATATTCAAGAAAAAGATCTAAGACCCAGAGAATAAATTATCAACTTCACCACACTTGTTGATATTGGTACTGAAAATTTGAACAACTAAGAAATGTGCAAATAATGACAGAATTATATAACATCACAAAAGCTAAGCATGAAACCTCGTCAGTCATCTTTGGCAGGTCGTTAGTAGCATTTTACAATGTTTGTTCAGTGTTTCCAGTTCAAAAGGCATTGGGCATTAGAAAACGGTTAATAATTAAGCTACATCTTAATGTACTAATTCATATAAGACACATCCTACTTTGTACCAAAAAGAGAAACTTTTTATTACAGTGAAATCTCATATATTTATATAATCATTTTTAAGGTAAAGAGATTGCAAATAGCATACGGAGAGATCTTAGCACTAAATGACATTCATACTTGTTCAGTGACCATCCACTGGTTCATTATCTTAGTTGAACCAAATTAATTGATATACTGAAAATGTGAAGCATATTCAGCTGTGGCAGTGAGTGTGATATCTTCTAACAAAGCTAGTTTACAATAATGTGATTCAAGCCTACGAACGAAGAGACTGAGCACTACCGACCTTCGGAAATTACCTATGTCTAGTTTTTCAATTTTAATAACCATAAATAAATTATCAAGATAAAGAAATTTTGATGCGGAGCAGAAGAACTCGCAAGATTCACCTAACTTATTTGTTTTTGGGTCTTGTCCTACGATCAGTCTTTGTTTCTTTAGTCAGCTATTACATATTTAATATTACAAATGCATACTTCAATTGACTTATGATATCATGTGAATGATGAGTTATCCAAAGTGGAATCTTTTCAACTTTTAACAGTAGGTATTCACTGTAGTTCTCAAAATGAAATCTTTTTAACTTCTGACAGTTAGTATTCAATATAGCTCTCATAGAATATTTCTTATACTATAGCTTTGATCTCAAAAAGTGTAAATATAAACTCCAAGAGTTATATGAATGTTATAAAATTGCTCTTAATATACCACTCATTACTTGCAACTTGCCAGCGATGGCAAAGGTTGTTGTTTCTTTCACCTTTTCATATTAATAAGAGTAGTTATTTGGAATCGCATGCTGCCAAAACAAAAAGAGCCCAAATAAGCTCTTCGTAATCACCAACAAAATTCTAAAACAAATTAAAAAAAATAAAGAGACAAGAATACAAAAAACAGCCTTAAAGAAAAGTCAGAAATATGTTGTCACAGAGACAGTGAAAAGATACCATAGAGGGCAATAAAGTTAAGGGCTTATTTTCACAATTACTGGAGCATAAAATGCAATCACCTGTAAGAGCAGCACACATCTAATGTAGAAACATAGCTTATTCAGGAACTCAAAAGGAAAAGCCCCAATTTCTAAATAAAATTCTAATATAATCCCCAAACCCGATTTTGAGAAAACTCATTAAAATTCCCATCATAAATTGCTTATAAGAATCTATGAACAACTATAAAGCAAGGAAAAGATTGAAATTTAAGGAGAAAACTACATCTTTTACCATTGATATTTAACAGTGTGATTGCTTTTCAAACTTTAGAAATGTCCTCAACCACCAGAGAAAAATCATGAAGTCACTAGTCTAGGGGTTTGTCGACGCCTACAAACGACAATTCAATTTTGCTTGCAAGAAAGATCTTTACACTTTCTGAAAAGAAGACCAGGGAGAGTGAGAGCAACTAAGAAAAGTGGAAAGAAGGCAATGGAACATAATAATTCTGGAATTATGTCCAGCATGCAGTAAATGACGGAGCTAAAAGACAGTTTTGCTCTTGGTCGACCAACTTCTCATTTCTATATAATAGAAATGTGTCTAATTATTGTGGAGCTGAACGTGACTGTGAAGAATAAAGACGACGCACTACAAGAAAGTATGGAATTTGCAACAATTTTTTAGCAACAACTATAGTATTGTTGGCAAAAATGAACAAATAGCAACAAACTTTATAAAGTTGTTTCTATATCATATAATTTTTAAACACAAAATTTTTCTTGTTAGCAAATATTATAATATTGTTGCTATATTCTGTCGTTTAGATAATTAATTTTAAATTAAATAAATTGGCAACAACTTTTTTGCATCAATCAAAGTGTTGTTGGTAATTGTAATAAATGACAACAACTTGATAAAATTGTTGCTATTATCATAGAACATTTAGCCACGACTTTTTCATTGTTACCAGCGTTTTATATTCTTATTGCTATATTTATGGACAATATAATAAATTTAAAATATAAATAGAATTGGCAACAATAAATTTGTATTGTTGGCAATACACTTTATTTTTGCCAACAATATAGGTGGGTTGTGGTCTAAACCTTAACTAATTATTTTTCAGTTTTCCGCCAAAATCAAACGCGGCAAAATTTTCTCTGTTAATCACTTTTTCCGGATTTTTAGCCCACTCTTTTAGTTGCTCTGGGTAAGTTTTTTGTTGCTGCCATATTTTATTTGAAAACATAGTAGTTTTAAAATATAATAAATTAGCAATAATTTATATTTGGTAGAACCCTTAATTGTCTCAGCAAGTTTTGTTCACGCCTTAATTTTCTCAACAGGTTTGGTTAGTGGCCTAAGATTTAGCTAAGTATTTTTCAACTTTCCGCCAAAAGAAAAGCGGCAAACCGGTTTTTTTTCTTTTTAATTATCTTTTCCTTAATCCTTAGCCTATTTAGTTACCATTCTAGCAAGGTTTTCTCCTTTATTGTTCTACAGCACCGAGCAATTGGTTCTGGTCTATTCTTTACTTCATTATTTCTCGTCTACAAAGTCTGGTGAGTCTTGCTGATTACTATTCATCTATAGTGTGTTCCTTCGCTCGTATCACTGTTCGTTCAATTTATATGCTGTTATTTTTACTATATTTTAGTATAGAGTCTTTCTCTGACCTTTTCCATATTTAATTTTTTGCTAAATTGACAGCAAAAAAATTGAGGGACAGTTAATATTTTATATTTTTGTAGGTTATTATATGATGGATAAAAGTTGGATACTTCTTAGGAACAGAGCATTACCAGAATACTTGAATGGCGTGGAACAATTTTTAAACTTTGCATTTTCAAATCCTAATGTTGGTATAAGAATTCAATGTCCGTGCACTAACTGTAACCATGTGCGTAGGAAAACACGAGAAGAAGTCAAAATAGATATACTTAGGTGGGGTATAGATCCAACATATAATAGGTGGATTCATCATGGTGAGTCGGATTCATCTTCAGATGATGAAATAAATTCTAGTGCAAATTCAGATTTAGAAAATGATGATGCTACCACTTTCGAGATGTTGCATGACATGTATCACGGTGTTCCTACAGATAATATAACTCATGATCAGTCTGATGAGTCGGCTGAGTCTAGATATGAAGAACCTAATGCAGAAGCTAAGAGTTTTTATCGGTTGTTAAAAGATGCAGAGCAGAAGTTATATCCAGATTGTGAAAAGTTCTCGAAGCTCTCTTTTGTAATGCGTCTTTTTCAAATGAAGTGCTTGCATAGTTGGAGTAATACTTCATTAGACTCTTTGTTAAAACTATTAAGTGATGTTTTTCCCAAAGGACATGTGCTCCCTAATTCTATTTACGAAGTTCAAAAGATTATTAAAGATTTGGGTCTAGATTATGTGAAAATAGATGCTTGTATTAATAATTGCATCTTATATAGAAAGGAATATGCGGATCTTGAGCAATGTCCTAAATGTGGTGAGAAAAGATGGATAGTACGGAAAGGAGAAAATGATGACAATGAGGTTGCTTCAAGTAAATTGAATAAGAGAAAGAAAGGAATTCCTAGAAAAATTCTTAGATACTTTCCTTTGATCCCAAGATTACAACGGTTGTTTATGACTAAAAGAACCGCAGAAAATATGAGGTGGCATAAAAATAAGCGAGTTGATGATGGAGTATTAAGGCATCCAGCTGACTCACTGACATGGAAAACTTTTGATGAGAAACATTTGAATTTTGCATCAGATCCACGTAATGTAAGACTTGGACTTGCTTCAGATGGTTTTAATCCTTTTGGTTCCATGAGTAATGCCTATAGTATGTGGCCAGTATTCTTGATTCCGTATAATCTTCCCCCATGGAAATGCATGAAACAATCTAATATTTTGTTATCCTTACTTATTCCTGGCCCAAAAAGCCCTGGTATGGATATAGATGTGTATCTCCAACCTTTGGTTGATGATTTGAAAAAATTATGGGAGGACGGAATTGAGACTTATGATGCTTTTAAGCAACAAAATTTTCAATTGCGTGCTTCTTTGTTGTGGACAATTAATGACTTTCCAGCATATGCCATGTTGTCCGGTTGGAGCACAAAAGGTAAATTTGCTTGTCCAGTTTGTCATATAAATACTTGCTCCATTTACTTGAAATATGGTCGAAAGCATTGCTATATGGGTCATCGTAGGTTCTTGGAAATAAATCATCCTTATCGTCGGACCAAAAGTTCTTTTGATAACACAAGGGAAGAAAGACCTGTACCACAAGCATTGAGTGGAGATGATGTGCTTGCACAACTAAATACATCCTTACAAGGATCCACGGGTGACAACACAAGAAAAAGAAAACGAGATGCCGAAAGACGTGACAACTGGAAGAAGAAAAGTATATTCTTTGAACTCCCATATTGGAGGACTGTATTATTGAGACATAATTTGGATGTAATGCATATAGAAAAAAATATTAGTGAAAGTGTGATAGGAACATTGTTAGATATTGACGGAAAAACAAAGGACACATTGAAATCTCGATTGGACATACAAGAGATGAGAATCAAAAAGCCTCTTCATCCAATAAAATGTGGGGATAAGTACATACTTCCTCCTGCTAGTTATACAATGTCCAAAACTGAGAAGATTAAATTCTGTCAACTCATCAAAGATGTCAAGTTTCCGGATGCTTATGCTTCTAACATTAGTCGTTGTGTCAATGTTAAGGAAGCTAGACTTTTTGGACTTAAAAGTCACGATCACCATGTTATTTTCCAGCGTATCTTTCCACTTATCATCAAAGGGATTTTGCCAAAGGATGCATATGATCCGTTAATTGAATTGTCATTATTCTTTAGTGATTTGTGCGCTAAAGAGTTACATATGGATAAGTTAGATAAAATAGATAAAAGTATACGAGTGACAATTTGCAAACTAGAACGTATATTCCTACCATCGTTCTTTGATGTTATGGTTCATTTGGCAATCCATTTAGCAAAGGAGGCAAAGGAGGGTGGTCCTGTTCAATTTCGATGGATGTATTTCATCGAGAGGTTAGATTTTTACTACTCTAGAAAAACAATTTAGTTGCAATTTGCTCGAAACTAATATATCTTTACTTAACAGAATGTTGCGCACATTAAAAGGTTATGTAAACAACATGGCTCGCCCAGAAGGGTCAATTGCTGAGGGCTATCTTGCAGAGGAATGCATGGCATTCTGTTCCAAATATTTGACTGATATGGAGACAAAGGAAAATCGCCCGGATAGGAATTCTAATTCTTCCAACATGGATCCTAATGGCTTATCTGTATTCAACTGTCGTGGTAAGCCATTTGGAGGGGGTGATTGGACAAAATTGAATGATCTTGAAATCAAGCAAGCACATTTTTACATCCTTCAAAATTGTGCAGAAATTGGCCCTTTTATCGAGTAAAATACTTTTCACTTATTTTACATTCTTTTCTTCTTATGAATTCTTTCAACGACTATCTTGTAATGTTTTTATTTTATTTTATGTTCACCATCTATAGGGAACATTTAGAAATATTAACAAAGGAGAATAGTAGAAATGTTGCCAAGAGGCACAAGGAGGAATTTCCTTTATGGTTTCAGAAAAAGGTAACTTATATAATTCAATGTTGGTTGATATTTGTTTAGGACAATTCATAAATTTTATTTTTAAGTAGTACTAATATTTGTGAGTTTGTAATGAATAGGTGATACAATTAAAAGATAACGGTGACAGTCGAATTACTGATCAATTGCTAGCTTTGGCAAGAGGTCCAGATTTACGAGTTGAATGCCATAATGGATATGTCTTGAATGGTTTTAGGTTTCGAACAATGGCATCTGAGAAATTTTTAAAAACTCAAAATAGTGGTGTAGTTGTAAAGAGTGATGAATATACAGAAAATGCTGATTATTATGGAAAGATAAGAAGAATACTAGAAATCCAATATCTGGATAAAAATTCAGTGACATTATTCCAATGTGACTGGTTTGAAGTTCCGCCTCAGGGTCGAAGTCAAAGTAGAGGTTACCAAAGGGATGAATATGGATTCATATGTGTGGATGTGACACGACTTCATTACATAAATGATCCATTTATTCTAGGATCACAAGCTCAATCTGTGTATTATGTAAAACATGATCAAAATGAGAATTGGAATGCAGTGGTAAGGGTAAGACTACGAAACTTGTATGATCTACCCGAACAAGATGATGAAACAGAACCCTATCAATTAACTGACCTGGTTGAAAGGGAAGAGCAAAATCTTCAAGTAGAATCAGACACTGATATGATTAGAATACAGAGAGAAGATATTGATGGATTGAGCGTTGAAGCACCTTCTCTCAATAATGAGGAAGAAATAGACTTAGAAGTTGTAGATGAATCGGATCATGAAGATAGGGATGACTCAACAGATGAAGAATATTTTTCTGAGGATGAACATGATGAAAAAGAGGATGATGATTGGCTATGAGATTTTCACCACCTTGCCCGAATGGTTAATTTCTCCTTTTAGCTTTTTTATTTATTTCTTTATTATGTTTGTTACTATATAACTTCATTTAATATTTAGAATGTTTATTTTCGTCCCATGCCACATACTGATTCAAAATATATCATGATTACATGATTTTATATCTAACATTCGCTATTTAGTCACTGTATTTATTTATTTTTACTTAAATAGTCTGTTTGAACATACATCTTAATCTATAGTTATGTTGTTGGATAGATTATTTTCTGATTGACAATATGTGCAATGTTCTGCCTTCACTTCTACTTTCAACTAGTTTCAGTATAATTATTTTTATTATGTCTTGCAGACTATCATGATGACAAATGCGCATGTTTCTGAAAGTGTTGAATCTGCTGGAGTAATTTCAAACCCACAACCACGTGAGTTGATTCATTTAGTAAAAAGTAGCTTTGAGAAATCTCATGCTTGTATAACTTAATAGAAACAGACTTTTTTATGCCTTCAAATTTAGTAATAAATTCTTATAAAGAGTAGGATTTAATTATTTGACTAATTGATTTGTTTGTAGTCACTTTGAGTGAAGTATGATACTAATATATACTTTAAATCATATGCTTTTTTGAACTACTAATCTTTTAAATTTCCTCATGCATTTCAAGCAGAAGATACAATAGATTGTTAGTTGCTATTTATTGTATAAACATTCATTTTGTAGAGGAAGAGAAATTGTTCTCCATCTATTTGTGGATTAGAGATCACATCTTTATATTAATTGTCAACTGTAGTTACTTGGGAAGTTGAAGTTTGTAAGGACTTCATATGAAAAATACCATGCCTAGGGTCGATAAATCTATTTTCTTGCAGTACTAGTATTTTTCTCAGTGATGAATTGATGTTGAAGTTTTCTGGACTCTTTCATTTTAATATTCTTATGTATTGCTGAAGGACAAATGAGAAAGGGAAGGGGGAAGACTAGAGGGTTTTCAATCCAAAAGAAACGCAAAAATAATCCCAATGGAAAGCTGGAGGTGATTATTCCACCCGATCGAACAGTAGCAGTTGGTCCTGGAGCTAATAATTTTGTTACTGAGCTTTCAGTCACAGTTGACCAGAATGCTAAGCATGATGTCAAAACTTGGAAGAAAGTTTCTGATCTAGCAAAAGAAAGGATTGTTGCTCATATGCTGGTAATTCTCTTTGTATATTTTAAGTTTATAGTTTTTTGTTCTTGAATGAGTAGTAATCAACCAAATAGCATATTTAGTAACAGTTGCCCATTATAGTAGTAGTATATATAAAGAACAGTAGGCATATTTATTAATCTAATGGTTCCATCTTTGAAATCCTTTATTATAAGTTCCACATACAAATCTATTTGGTTGCTAGTAGAGTCTTAGGTGACAAAGGTATCACTTCTAATTTTTTGATGTGAGTGCAGGACGCCTTTGAAATTACAGACACGCAACACACTAGGGAAACTATCCTTCATACAGCTAATAATTTGTATCGATATCGTCGTAGTAGGCTCCATGATCATTTCAAGAAATTTGCTACAAAGGAGGAACGATTGCAAAACATACCAGAAGATGTCACTGAAGTTGAATGGAAATTCTTGGTGGAGTATTTCGACTCTGATCCTTTCAAGGTAATTAAATGAAATATGCGCAAAAGCTATTATTTAGCTAAAAGAATTTTGAAAAATGTCTACGTCAACCAGGGAAGTTACAAAAAACTAAGAAAGCAACCTATGAAATGGAACTTAAATTTTCATGACCAGACTCAAAGTCTTGTTTATTTCTTATTTTACTTTTTATACTTGAATCATAAGTTATATCATTGATTCATATTCAATGCAGAGAATGAGTGCTAGAAACAAAATAAACAAGGAAAAACAAGGAATCAATCATATTTGCGGTAGAAAATCCTTCGGGGCAGTCTCTTTTGAAGAGGTGAGATATGTCTTATTTAATGAATTTAGTAATTCTTTCTTCAATAACGTAATTTTATTTATTTTGTTAGAGAGATGCAATCACCGGAAAAGAGCCAAACTTTCAGAAACTTTGGGAGAAAACTCACATGAAAAATGGTCATTGGGTCAACGATGCCGCTGCTGAATTGAATGTACATACAAACCTCTAATATTTAATCCTATGATATGAGTTTATTGAAACAAATATTGAAAACTAAAGCTTGTATGTCCTGTTTGTAGGATAAAGTGAATGAATTGGTTGCAGAGCAAGTTCAAGAAACAGAAGAGGGTACTGATATGGACCATATTGTTAATGCGTCCTTTATAAAAATTGTTGGAGAAAAGTCAGGCTATTACCGCGGCCAAGGATCGGGACTTAAGCTAACAAATAAGCGATCCATGCAAGGGCTTCAAGAGCAACTGCAAGCGCACAAAAAAGAGGTGGAAGAAGAACGCCATAAACGAGAGAGTGTAGAATCTAAACTTAAAGAAGTGCAAGAGCAACTTGAGGAGGAGCGAAAAAATCTAGAAGTCATTAAAGCTCATGTAGGAGTCATGGAAGTTCGTGTAGGACGTGAGCAGAAAATGTTAAAAGAGGGCATGGTGGGACTTGCATCCCTTATACAAGGTTCCAAGGTATTCATTTAGTTATTCTATAAATCTTTTGAGCTAAATTAGAAGTTGTATCATGTAACAATGATTCACGTGTTATATCTTTGAACATTTCTAATGTTTCTCTGTTTGGTATCATTTCACCTGAAATTGGTCTTTTAGACAAACTTGAAAACCTTATTATGTTTGCAGATAACTTAACTGGTACACTCCCTTTAGAAATATTCAAGCTTTCTTCTATCAAATACGTTAATCTTTAGTGATTTAGAAGTGTTCATTTGCCTTTTAGAGAAATCATATATAGCAGACTGTCACTACTTTCTTAATGAATTATATTGGTATATTTAGTGTTATAGAAGTGTTCATTTGCCCTTTAGATGTGTTCCCTTGAGATTCTTATTTTCTATGCGCATGTAATGCTAGCTCTACGGACATGCACATACTTTCCAGTGAAATGTGTTCCTATTGAGGTCCCTGCTGCTGTTTACATCACACAATTAAATAAAACCTCCAAATATCCAGATATTCAATGCTATGACATGATATTCCTTTGAACTTAAATTTTGACCGCTGGCCTAGTGACTTGATGAATGGGATGTTGACCACCCACAAGTGCAGGTTTTCCCTTCACGTGTGTCTGGCTAATGCTTGTCCAAAAACCTCCCACTGGCAAAGGATAAAGGGTAATACATGTTGTGACTCCTGTCTTGACAATTCACTATCTATGTAGTAGTTTAAGAGATCTCAAGTTGTGTATCTTCCCAAACCATGCAGTTTTCTTCAGTGAAGTAGATGAACTTTCTAAACTAAATTATCGACTAGGTATCGAAATGAATCATCATCTTCTTGTAGCATTTTGGTGAGTCTCTAATTCTACGTTAAGAGGAGGGAATTGACATTGTAATGCTTTAAGCGCTTTGCCAAATATACTTTAGAAATAGTGGAGTTTAATTTGTTTTCATTCTTTTCTTGCCTCATTTAATTATTTTGCTTTTGGGGTGTTACTGAGTGGAAGGAGGGTTATCTATAGTTGAAACATTGAGTTCTGCAAAATTGACCAGTTGCATCAAAATCCACTGAATGATGCTTTTATCCAAGATTAAGCTTCTCCATAATGTCCTAGCTATCACATTAGAGGTGGCAGGGTCTATAGAAATTATGTTTCTAATAGTTTCTTCTGATTTTCTGACTCTTAGCTCGCTGGTACTACCTTTTTGGTTATGTTATTGTTACTATTCTATTGTCGCATTTCATCATCTTGTGTTGAGGGTCTATCGGAAACAGCTTCTCTACCCCAGGGTAGGGGTAAGGTTTGCGAATACACTACCCTCTCCAGACCCCACTTGTGGGATTACACTGGTTTGTTATTGTTGTTGTTGTTGTACTTAGTGTTTTCCAATAATTCTTTGCTATTGTTCTGGAAAATGAAACTTGTCATAGTCTTTTTGATATTACAAAATAGTTTCATCCTTGGTACTATCATGTTTAAGATCTTTATTTGTGCTCTGTTTAACAGACTCGACTTCCTGCTGCACTTTTCAATATTATTACAAATTTAAGTGGTTCAGATGAGGCAAGTCCTGCAAGTCCCACAGATGACATCATGGTAAGTAAACTCCACCTAATTCACGTAAAAGTAAATTTCTTATACATAAGTAGATACATCTTAGAAGGAACAAGAGTACCAGAAAGAATTATGTTAATTCATGAATGCCTGTATTTTGATAATCATCTCTCATCCTAAGTAATTATTTGATATATATCACCTAAACTCTAGAAAAATATAAATCACAATATCTTCGCTTTCAGTACACATCTTAAGTAAGAGTGGAAGCCACCCCAGCCTTTTTAAAATTTGATGTCTGATTTTAACAATTTTGCCAAGATTTTGTAGCACATTTATCGTCATGTTTTCTACATGACAGTTTCTTTTTGCAAGAAATAGTATCCTTATCATATGGCCCCACGCTTGTGCATCCTTATGTGCATATATGCTCTAGACAATCCATTGCTTTGCTTAGCTCCAAATACAACCTCTGCTATGCTTATATTCATCTTTTGTACTGCAATAAAATGGATTATTTGTCTCTCCTCTCCTTCCTTTTTGACTTCTTATTTGGCTGCCTAAAAATACTATGGATGACATCCTGATAAGTAATATTCATAAAATAATACTAGTAAATAAATTTTAAATACATTTTAGCCTCTCTTCTTTCATTTTCCTTTAGATTTTTCCACTAGAACATAAAAATTTCAGTTTTATATAAGTACAGAAAATCTTTTTTACTTTCAAAACTCTACAACTTCATTTATGTACAACTACCTTTATGTGATAGGATCTTGTGACTAATAGTAATTACTCAACAAGGGGAACAACAACCTAAATAAAAAAGAAATGAATTACATGTATTGGCAAGACAAAGATACTTAAATTGAGAGAGGCACTGACAATGAAGCATTATATGTTCAGTTGAAAATGTTAAGATCAAGAAGATCCAATTTAAATTCTATGAACATTACAGAGTGTTTGTCCAAGTTGGATAATGGTGTCCATTCATTTTTGTATTTTAAATAGTGTTACCTTTCTATTGTTAGCAATGTACATGTTAGTATATGTTTAGTTGGTTGCACCTCTGTTCTTGCAGTCATTTTAGTTTAATGAGGTTAAAGAGTTTCTGAAATATTTTCTAATCTATTTTTCAGTTTTTTTGGAGTGGATACTTGATATGATATCTTGGAGGTTATGTTATAATGCTTTTTTAGCTGAATATTTCTACCCCTACCGTACTGTCTAATGTAAATAGGCATTTGTGATTCCCTCTATTTTAAATCAAAGTCTAATTATAAATTTTTTTGTAGGATGATGAAGCGTAAACCAACGCTACTTGCAATCTGATTCATGTGCTGCACAAGCCGGAAGATTTGTCTTTTGGGTTATATTATATTAGAATTTAGTGACCTAGGACATATGATGTTTTTATCCTTTTGTAAGTAAAAACTTTTAGAAGTATTTAGATTTTAGAAGGGTGTAAATATCTAGTACAACAACTTTATGTATTGACCTTTTGCATATATATATATATATAATATTTAGTAATTTATATACATTTGTTAAAAATATAAAAGCATATAGGAATTATGTATATAGCAACAAATCATAAGTTGTTGCTAAAAACATTCACGAAGCTTATATGCAACAATTAATGTTGTTGACATAAAGTAACTTATTGCCACAATAACGCTTGTTGCTAAAATTCTTGATAACAAATTAACTAGTAATTCCCGCCATTGTTTTTGCAACAACTTATATTGTTGGGAAAATGATTGATTTGTCGCAACAATTATTGTTGTTGCTGAATATTTTTATAAACCACAATTATACGCCTTTATAACAACAAAATATAATTTATTGCAACAAGAAGATTTGTTGCGTTAATTTAGCTTTTTGGCAACAACATTGATTCTTGTTGCATAGATTTTTCGCATCGGAGTTTGCTGCAACAACGTGCAACAACTTATTTTTTGTTGCGAAAAGTATTTTTCGCAACGACAACCAACATATTACAACAAAAAATATTATTGCAAATTCCGTAGTTTCTTGTAGTGACGGTTGCAATTTGTTTCAAATATGAAACTATATGAAGTTGACACTCTTGCAGAGGGAACCGAGTTATATATTTATTTCACAAAGACATAAATCATACTAGAAAATAAATTTATTATGTAGCCTGGGCTAAAATATTTGATTAATTTAAATGAACTGAATACCAACTACACTCAAATACACATGCAAGATACGTAAATCTTATGCTCATTCATATGCAAGGCATAGAAAACAAAAAATATTTAATGACTGCAATTGAAATAGAAATACTCACCTTAGAATCATTAAAAAAATAAAGATAATAACCATCTCTAATATTGCACATTAAACAAAAAAAGAAAAATTCAATTTGATAAGAGCCAATGTGACAATCTCAAACTAATTTGTATGCTAAACCCAAAAAAAAAAAAAAAAAAAAAAAAAAAAAAAAACAAATACAAGAGCTCTCCAATATGAAGGTAGGACATTCAATTAGTGTAAAGCCATTGTAAGTTCAAATAGCCTTTAAAATGGACGCTAAAAGGGCAAACTAAGATGTTTTTAGAAGGGATATTATAGCCATTTTAATTTTCACAATAATTTTCGTTAAAGATGCAAACTTTTAGCGGCAATTATTTTAGATTTAGTGGCTGTATAAATGGATGCTAAAGGAGTATAATTAGCCATTTTGGATTGGATTTAGCAGCCATCATAATTGCCACAAACAATTGCCATTAAAGATAATAATTTTTAGCGGCAATACATCATACCTTTTACCAGCTTTTGTTAGAAAGGTCGCTAAAGGCTTTGCCGACCCCGGCTTCAGCGGCTAAACACCAATGGCAGGTAAAGAATATAGCGGTTATTGTTATTGCCGCTAAAGCCATTTTGTATTGCTGCTAAAGTCCCTTTTTGTTGTAGTGTGTGACGACCAATATCTCCAAAAGTTGGTTCTAATTTATGTCAAGCCAAAAATTTTTTTAAAACAAAATTTGACTATGAGAACCATTATTGTAATACCTTTCACATACACAACTTTACAATATGTTGAACTCTAACCTTCATTTAGATTGACATATGGAATTAATCTTTGAGAAAGAATTCATATGTTGAGAAAGATAAATTATCTCAAGAAATAGGTACTATTATTCCCTGCGTCAGTGGTTGTTTAATCCTGAAATAAGGGAACACAACTAAAGAATTAATATAAGAATGCTTATTGTATTGGTGTGTAAACGTACTACACCAAATTAAAAATTATAGAATAAATTAGAGTGGTTGATAACATTGCTATGATTAGATGCACCAAATTAAACTGTTGTGAACTCAGCGACTCACTCGGGAAGATATATTTTGGAATTTGGAAAATTATGCGTGGGACCCATTTTGAGCTTAGGCAGGCGCTCAGTGCGTGAAGGTGCAGCGTGAAGAAACTGGTTATAAATATAGTAGATGGCGTAGTGCATTTTTATGCGAAATGTGTCAAGTGTTAGCTCTGTGTCTCATCTCATCCCCAATTCTGTATCAGTCTATTCCTCATCTCCATTCTTCTTAGATTTCTATTGCATTGTCCTTATTATCATTAGCAATTACTTTGTAATTTTCATTAGTGTTGAGTTAATACAATTAGTTAGTTTGGTATATCATCTGGGTTGTTTCATTGGTGCGTTCATCCAGAGGTCTTCAATGGAGGACCAAATATTTTGAACTATCGATTATTCAGTTAAGGTCGTGAAGGATTCGTGGTCGAAGGATATCGCCGAAATTCATTCATTGTTACATGAGTTGGTTGAAACCCTTGCAACGAGTAAGCCTACTCCGGTGGAATTCCAACGATTTAGTACCGAGGATCCAGAGTTATGGATTTCTGAAGAATTTTACGGCACATCAGAAAATAATAAATTATTACGCGCGTCTATTTACCTAGAAGGTGAGGCGTTGGAGTGGTTCCGATGGCTTCTCCGGAACAAGCAATTGACGGATTGGGAACATTTTGTTGCAAAGGTGCGAATTCGTTTTCGTAAACAACATCTCGAATCGCCGGAAAGTCACATGGCTACAGTCAAGGATTATTCTACTGAAATTGAAGCCCAGATGTTCGACAATATGTTACATGGATGTTGTTATTCCAAGGTATTTGCTACTAAGCAATCAGATGTTGAAGTCCTTAATGATAAAACGGAATCTGGTTTAAACAATGCAAAATCAAAAGAGGTTTAGGTATTTGATGAAGGCTCTCACAGAAATGGCAACACGCATCAGTCTCATTCTGAGACCTTGCAAACCGAGGTTACTACTAAGGTTCTAGTTAATCATTACTTCTTTAGTGGTTTTAATTGGTTACAATTGTAATGTGACTAAACTACTGGAATCTAAAAATAAAGAGGAGGAAAACGCAAGTGACAATGCAGCTCAGGTATTTGAAATTTCTCCTCTAAGGGATGAAACTGGTTGTCAGATTCCTTCTACTAGCCAAGGATCTATCATGTCAAATACTATTGGGAGGTTTACTGGAATAGAATTTCCATTGGCTGATGCTACTCAAAATATATTGGGGCACCACTATGATTTAGACTTACACATATGCAATTGAGTTGATACTGGACAGGAGAAAATTTTTACTGGTTTGTTGATATCTTTATCGAGAGAGACTGCTAGGGAGCAGAAAGTACATGGGGTGCTCGAGGCTTTTGCTGATGGATATTTCAAGCAGTTGAGATTTCGAGTCATTGCTCACTGTTACAATGCCTGCCTAAGCTCAAAATGGATCCCACACATAATTTTTCAAATTCCAAAATATATCTTTCCCGAGTGACTCACTGAGTTCACAACATCGTGAGAAGCATGAAATCTTCACAGTGCGAACTGATCTCACATTGCATGCACATGCTAAACACCCTGGTGAACCACACCTATTTCATGGCACAGTTTATTTTGATTACATGGGCGGCGACTACAAGCCTCAATTTCAACTTGGTGCACAATTTGGAAGAAAAGAGACTAGAGCAACTTTCCTCAGAATAGGTTTGCACCCCTTGACGTTAATCATTTTAAGTAGCGGCATTTTATTCCATGCCCAGAAGCACGATGTTTTTGTGAATACAAAACAATATAAGAGGACAGTTTGTGCATTAGCCGTGCATAAGAATGAATTCCTTCTTGTTGGTGGAAGAATTCAGAAGAGGGTGGTGATGTTGGCATTCTCAGAAAGCAGTTACCTTGCAACAAGCTTTTGACCAAGGTAGAGTTCACCAAGAAACAAAAATTTATCTCTTTCAGGGTAGTGAAGATCATAACCCTGCGCAGCTACAATTTAAAGGAAGGTACCATGCCTAACAAGATCTTCCATCAAGAGATTTGGCTGAAGATCGAGAGTCAATATGGCATTGTGATAAGTTACTCATTGTGCTGAGTAACGGTCGTGGCTGCACATATGATTCTGGTATGCTGCTATCTCGATCCAAATTATTAAGTGCTCCTGCTGTGGTTATTATTGAGACCTCTGAAAATGCTTGGTTGACATTAGCTTATCTTTACCTAGAAAAAAAGGATGTGCGCAACTATGTTCGTTTGGCAATTATTATTGAGGGTCGGCCCTATGTTAGATATTTTACAGTTGGTTCCTTGGACATGCTTACTGGATTTGCCGAAAGACTAGATAGTGCTGTCATCTTCTTGGTTCCAGAACGAAATTTAAGGAATTCACTACTGTATTTTTGTTTACATGTTGCTCCTGATATTTGGCTCTATGTTCGTGGATCATGTGCCAATTCTTTTGGTTTTTCAACCAGTGTTTCTGATGTTGGCCTTGCAATTGAGAATGCACATACTGCTTTTGCCACAGAATTTGCTTATGATGCGAGAGAGTATGTTCTATTTTCAAAAATAGAGTTTCCCATAAAGAAAGAGACAGTCCAGGATATTACATTGCATTATATTGATACTGCAAGTGATCTGCCACAAGGAGAACAAGATATATTGCCTCTTATGTGCCAACTGATGGCACCTAGGAAAATTAAGTTTGATCTTTTGGTCCCTAGTATCAAAAGATAGCGAGATATATTTTCCATAGCTATCCTCTCAGTTAGGAAGCTAAAATTCCTTGTAAGGCTGTTAAAGCTAGGGATTGGGAAAGGAGTTGTTCACATTGAGGTTAGACCAATTTATTTAGCCATTTCCTGTGTACCCATTTGCACTGATGCAGAAGTAATGAGCCACTACAATTCCTGTGCATCCATTTGCACAGATGCAGCAGTAAAGAGCCAGTACATTATGCTTGTAAATGTTGCTCTGCCTTGCTTGCTTGCTGTTGACAATGTCAGGCGGATGTTGCTACAACTTGTGCTCTGCTCGAACCTTGAGGGCAAGGTTCTTTTTGAGGTGGGAGATATTGTTGTGAACTCAGCGAGTCACTCGGA